AGTGCAATTCTTGAAGGTGAACCACTCCGTCTGGGCTGGACGCCACATGGAGGGTGGTGGTGCATCCACAACCTGACTGTCCAGCAGGATCCAATAGGATCCATCCTGCGAGCCGTGCAACTCAAAGGCTACAGGGTCGTTGTCTGGGCAATCTGCCCCGGTGATGAAACTGTATGAGTCCACAAGTGTCAAATGCTCCCATTCGATCACCAGTGGTTGCTTGGCAGTGTCCCGCCACTTCGTGTCTGTTAGCATGTCCTCACTTGCCCACAGGAGTTGGAAATACAAGGTGAACCTTAAAGCCCTTTACTCTTTTGGGACCTCTACTAACAAGGGGCCAAAACAGGCAAACACCCAAGGGTGACAAGGTCGATTCGTTTTGAGCTGAGCGTCAATTGCAAACATGGCTTGCCCAGTGCCCCCCGGGTTGCTTGCATTTGCAGAGCTTGTGTCCACCTCAGTGCCGCAGTTCCGGAACCGAAGCTCGGCCAGTCCGTGTGCACAGCAACAGCTGGAGCCACTGCTAGCTGACACTTCCGTGGGCGTAAAGCGGTAGAAGTGAAAGCCGTCGACTGTTGTGCTGGTGGTCGAGGTCTGCGTTGATGAGGTACTTGTAGAACTTGAACTAGAAGTGGAGCTGCTAGTTGTGGTGCTGGAAGAGGTTGATTGAGTCTTGCTGGTGGTGCTGGTGGTGGTGTTCCCCAAAAACGACGTGGTTGTGGAGGAACGGGTGTAGGTGGTAGAGACCTCAGAATCTTAGTGGATTCCCATGAAATCCCCCCTTGCAGTCTTACTTCTTGATTCCTTTCAACAAGACATCCCCCCTCCAACAAGTTGAGCAACAAAAATACACACACCCAACCAGAAATGATGAAAACAAATACATCCAAAATCCAAACCAAGAACAAACAACTAAACCCATCCCAACCAAAACCGAAAATCTGCCACCCACTTGCAGCTGGGTCGACGGTGCTGCTGGTGCTCGAGACCGTGGTGGTGGTGACCCACGCCATTACTCCCAAGTCAAAGGCGCATTGGTCGATGACCGGCAGCTCCGCCTTCGGATGGAGGCTGCGGGGTCAACAGTAGGGCAACCCCAAAATGGCATGCCCGGGAAAATGGAAACATATGGAAACATGGACTAAAATCTGCGGTCCAATTCCTGGTAATTCAATGTAGGCCCACGCCCATATAATAACTGGGTGGATCTCCCTCAACAGGATAGAAGCCTGGAATGTGCTCATGATCATGATGGAGGAAAACAATGATCATGATGGAGCCGGCTGCCCAACTAGTCATGCTGAATCATTGATCCCCCATGGGCTCACAGCCCTTGCGTCCTGAGGGCCTTTGACTCAAGACAAGGCAAAGGAAAGGGCGCCTACAGATATTCAGGGACCCTCAAGTGGAAATGTTAAACAATTACCCATCCCCTTCTTGGAGTCCTTTTGCACAAATGGGACATTGCTGGCTATTTAGCACCCAGAAATCTGCTTCGCACCGGCTGCAAAGGCGGATTGTCACATTCTATCTAGATATAGGGTTTCATTCATGCCAACTAGTGATGGTGTCCATCCAGCAAAATGTCTACTTGCAAAATCCAGACCAAAAGGAGGCTTATCTTAAATGCACCCTCATTCCACGGCCCCGGCCAGCTCTCTCGGCCATGCCTGGGTGGTGTTTGCGATGCCCAGGCCGCAGAACCCGCAGAGGCCCCCGCATTGCGCCGTGCAGTTCTGCGCGTCGCAGGCCACGGAGCCAAATGCCGTGAAGCCCGTGGCGCTACTGTACACCGCCTCGTAGGCAACGGGCGTGCCCTGGAGGTTGATCGACATCTCTCCTTGGACAAAAATCACTTGCGAATCGGGGAAGGAGAAATGGAATGACCCAGCAGTTTCCCTTAAAGGACACCACCAGGAATGGTTTATAGGGGTCATCTTTGAATTTCTTGCTGAGCACCAGCAACAAAACGAGCCCTACTTGTACCCTTCCCCCCAAGCAACAGAAAGACCGTTCGATGTATCGGGGAAATGGCCCTGGTTTGGACCATTGTCCTTTTAAAGGGACCGTTGATAGGTGGAAAGGTGACTCATCTAGGAACCTCTAGGCATGGAAGAAAACATCTTCGGGATGTAAAGGACTTGGCTAATGTCGACCCCGGGACACTCCCCATATTCAATACACCGGGGTTTATGAATCCGGTCAATTTTCGGGCGGGAAAAATTGGCCACGGGTCAAAATCCCGTAACATCCCAATCCCCACTGAAATAGACCAAAATGGGTGGTGCACCTACCCCAAAATGGGATCCCATTGGTTTTGACAACCACGGCCAGTTCAAAAAACATCTGCCCGGGTGTCCGTAGTTGGGCGCCCCGCGGCAATCCGCGGAGATGCCCCAGGAGAAGGGGGTACCGGCGGACACTGCGTAGGTTGCGTCAGTGATGTCCACCAGCACGCTGGTGTCACCCACTTGGGGGTCCCGCAACAAGCGCAGCTTGC